ATCTATCCCATACTAGGAGTGTGGCTGCGGTAGTGGGGCATATATTCTGGTATTTTGGTCTGCTGTGTTTGGGGATCCAAGCTAGGGTTGATGTCGCTATCCCGCCAGTGTGTGCTGTCTCTATTTGGTGCCATGGGGGTGGTGTAGTATGGTGGAAGGTCGCTATAAGGGTACCCATTAAGGCCGCTATGTAGTATCTGGTTAGATCCGGAGCCCCCATCCCACCCTCTTTAAAGGGCTTATACATGGTGGCCGCCGCGATCCTGGGTTGTTTCCCCCCCCAGATAAACCCGTTTATCATGCTTTGGGCTTCTGTAAAGAATGTCTTTGGCAGGCCTATCTGTAGCGTTCTGAATAAATACTGGAGCTTAAGTAGTACCATCATTTTTGCTGCCGCTATTCTACCAGTCCACGAGATGTACTTCCCTTTCCAGCTATGCAGCTGTTGTTTGATGTTACTTAGTAATTTTAAGTAATTTGTTTTATATAGTTTCCTTATTGTGGGTGTGAGGTGAATCCCTAGGAATGTCAGGTAATCCTTTCTCCAGTCATATGTGTGTTTGCCTTGTAGCGTAGTCAGTTGTTCTGTAGTGAGATTTAGGCCCATGGCTTGTGTCTTGCTGATATTAAGTTTATAGTAAGAGCACGCAGTAAATCGTGTTAGTAGTTTTTGAAGTTGCTCTAATGAGGTGTCCGGGTTAGACAGTGTGAGCATAACATCATCGGCAAACAGGGTGATTTTATGTGTGTTCCCTCCTACTTCGATCCCTTTAATGTCTTGGGAATCTCTTATGTGTTGTGCTAAGGGTTCCAATGCCAGTATGTAAAGCAACGGGGAGAGCGGACAGCCCTGTCTGGACCCATTAGAAATCTGAAATTGTTTGGAGGTAAAGCCTCCGTTCGCTATCCTCGCTGTAGGGTTGTCATAGAGCGCGGATACCAAGGTGATGAAGCGGTCTGGGAAGGCAAACTTCCTTAGCACAGCTAATAGGTATCCCCAGTGCAGCCTGTCAAATGCTTTTTCAGCATCTAATGACAGTGCTACGCTGGGCACCCCGGTTGTGTGAATTCTGTGGATGATATTTACTAGTTTCCTCGTCCCATCTGAGCCCTGCCTTCCGCGAACAAAGCCAACCTGGTCGTCCGGAATTAGTTTGGGGAGCATAGTTCCCAACCTGTTTGCATAGATTTTTGCTAGTATTTTTAAGTCCGTATTTAGGAGAGATATGGGCCGTAAGTTCTGGCATTTGTGTGGTGGTTTCCCAGGTTTTGGCAGTGTTGTTATGTGAGCCATTAGCATCTCCCGTGGTACTTTGCCTGTTTGGAGGATAGTATTGTATAATTTTTCTAGTGTGGGGGCTAAAATGCGTGAGAAGGTTTTGTAATATAAATTTGTAAAGCCATCTGGGCCGGGTGATTTCCCTTTGGGAAGGGTCTTAATTGTGTGTGTTATTTCAGTCTGAGTGATAGGGTCAGTCAGAAGGGTTCGGTCTTCCTGCGTAAGTTGACGTGTGTGGGCTTCCGTTAGGAATGTATTGATATCTGTGGCCAGGGGTTGGTGCGTGTGTTCATCTCTGTTTAAGTTATATAGTGATTCGTAATAATCAGCTAACATGACGTGAATATCATGGGGATTGTATACCTTATTTCCCAGTGGATTTAGAAGGAAAGGTATTTTCGCATTTTGCCTCTTTTGCCGTAGAAGCGCTGCCAGTGCTTTCCCGGCTCTGTTCCCCTGGGTATATGTTGCGAGTTTAAGCCTGTGTGCTATGGTAGCTGTAGTTTGTAGGTGTATGTCGTTTAACCGCCCTTTAATTTGGTCTATGCGTTGTTGCTTGGGTGTTGTGGGGTTTAGGATGTGGGCAGACGTTTCCGCCGTAAGTGATCTTATTAAGGTTAGGTATTCTGTTTTTGCTTGTTTATTTAAATGGGAGGCTTGGCTGATCATAAGACCTCGAATGAATGCTTTATGCGCCAGCCATGTTGTAGCTAACTGGACGTCAGGTGTATCGTTTATAGTAAAGAACGAAATGATTTCTTCAGTGAGTTTGGCGGTGAAGTCTGGGTTGCTCAAGAGAGCCTCATTCATGCGCCACGGTTTTGTTCCGCGGGATTGGAACTTGTCATGTATGGTTACTATTACAGGGGCATGGTCAGACCAAACTATGTTTCCTATCTCACTACTGGTAGCTTTTGACAGCATGTCACTTGAGATAAATATAAAATCAATTCTGGAGTATGTTTCGTGAACCGACGAATAAAATGTGAATTCTCGGTCGTTCGGGTGTTGTGCTCTCCATACATCGTACAGATTGTGTTCTAAAAGAAGTTTTACCAGTGCAGTAGCCTGTTTTCCCAGTGATTTACATCTCTGGGATTCCGCCGACTGTGTGGTATCTAGTTTGGGTTGCATTACGTGGTTCAGATCTCCGCACAGGATTGTGAAGGAAGGATAGGTGGTAGGGATTTTATGTAGGGCTTTTTGTAAAAAATTGCGTTGTTCAGTGTTAGGACTATATACTCCCACTAACGTGTATAATGTATCATTAATTTTGCAGTGTATTATGAGATATCGGCCTTGTGTGTCTTTTTTGAGATTCAGTAGTTCAAATGTAACTGACACATGAATGAAAAAGGATACACCTCTTGATTTGGAGGAGTGAGTGGAGTGGTACTGTGTGGGGTAGTCCCTGCTCGCGAAGGTGGGTACCCTGTTATGTACGAAATGGGTCTCTTGTACGCATAGTATGTCTGTTTTTGTGCGTTTTGCATCTTCAAGGAGGAGTCGCCTTTTGTGCGGAGTATTCAGTCCGCGGGTGTTAATAGTTTGTATTTTCATAAGTTGTGTTTAGGTTTGTCATTGTGCGATAAATTAGTGCAGTTTTTATTTGACGTTTGCTTATGTTAATTAGGGAGCTGTGTGTCTCCATTAGTAGCACGCAAGGTTTGCTTAATGCCGCCATTGTACTGTATGTTATTATGTGGGCGGATGGGCGAGAATGTTGGTAGGTTTTCCTGTCTTGGGATTCGAAGCCGATCACGGGTTCCTTTGGGTAGGGAGAGGGAACTTGTGGGAGGGAATGTAACTATATACAGAGTGTCTCTCTCGGAGACAGTGTGTGGTTGTACCACATTCAGGGGACAGAAGAGGTGTCTCTCTTCCATTAGCGTGGCTAGTGGACACCTATGTCCTCAAACGTGAGTTACGTCTACGTGTTATAGGTATGTGTGTGCACATGGTGTAGTCCCAGCATTGGTAGTGCCTACCTTGTCTCGGTAGTGCTAGGGCAGGTCCCTCCAGGGCTAAGCTAGGCTCCGCCTATGGAGTCACAGTAGATTCTTATAGGTTAATGAGTTGATGGGATTTACCCGACTCCTGTCAGATGTGGGTCTGGCGTGCGTGTGTGGTTTAACAATATACATATTTTAGTACAGACAGTGATTCCTAAGACTCCTAGGAGTTAAGCTGCCTAAGGGAGGTTTAACAGTTTCCCCAACTGAACCGCCCGCCCCCCTACTGCCAGTATCATCACCCGTTCCCCGATTTCCATCCCATGCTGTCCCACTCAAGTCCCTCAGTTTGTATATGATGGGAGCCTGGTTCCCAGGCCCCCCAATACCTTGTTGGGTCATTTGACTCCAGTCACGTAGTTCGGTTCCGATGAGCTGGCCCGTTTGTAGCTGTGCTTGGTTCTCAGTTATTTACGTGGGTCTTTAAAGTGATCCTTTTCTAGGGTATAGGGTTTGTAAATCAGAGTCTCAGGGTGACCGGAGTAACGTCCAAAGGGTGGGGGATGAAAGGAGGTATCTTCTGTTTGGGCATAGGTCTGGTCCAGGGTCCCCCGCACTCACTCCACTGCTCTGCTTGCGCCTCGTCACAGGGATGTCGGGAGACCCTGGCCCAGTACCCCACCCCCGCCCCGCAGGTTGGTGCCCCGCGTTGCGCAGCAAAAATCAGTGTTGGTGGTCCAGTGGATTACGTATCTGCCATAAGCCAATGTCCAACCAGTACTTGTGTAAGGGCCATCGCCCGCTGACCAGTGTTCTGACTGGTGTTAATGTTTTTCGTGGGTCTTCTTCCAGTCTTGCTTGAGTGTTCCTGCTTGGGTTGGTGTCTGTGTAGGTGGTTCTACCTGCATATCCCAGGCATGTAGTTTCTTTACGCCGTCTTCAGGGGTATTTATCACCGTCACGCCGCCATCTTTTGTGATCACCAGTTTTGTGGGGAAACCCCATCTGTACCGGATACCGTGTGATCTTAGTGTTGCGGTGACTTGGGTGAATTCTTTTCGTTTTTTTAGCGTAGCTGCCGACAAGTCCGCATATATCTTGACGGTGGGGTAGTCGGTCGGTGGTTTAGCTCTTGTTCTGCTGCTCCGGAGGATATGTTCCTTTATATGGAAGTAATGGGCACGAAGCAGTATGTCTCTGGGTACCGTCTGTGGAAGGTGTCTGGGTTTCGGGATACGATGCACCCTGTCGACCAGCAGCATATCCGTGGGTATCTCTGGTGCGTGTGCATGCAGCAGGCTCCTCACATATGCCGGTAGGTCATCATTGGATACATCTTCCGGGACTCCCCTTAGGCGTAGATTGTTTCGGCGAGAGCGATCCTCCAGATCCGCCAGCTTGCCTTCCAGTTTGTTAAGTTCTTTTGCCATGCGTTCCACATTCGTTGCCAAGTCATTGTGGGCTGTAGCGAATTCGTCACATTTGTCCTCCATATGTGATGTCCGTTTCCCCAGCTCCTGTATGTCTTTACGCATGGAGTCTGCTGTGTGCTGCCATGTGGTGATGAGTTTGTTGGATAAAGTTTCCAGGGCTGCATTGAGATCAGCTTTTGTGATTTGTGATGTGTGAAGTTGGTTTTCCAGTTCCTTGGTGTGTATGCCGTCGTCCGATTCCGGATCTGCATACTCTTTTGAGGCCTGCGCCGCCATAGTCGCGGAGGTTTGTTTTTGGCTGAAAAAATTGAGCTTGTCAGGCTTTGCCGAGCTCCGCTTGCTTTTGTGGTGGGACATTGTCAGATTGTAAAGGTGGATGCCGCTTTAGGTGCTAGGATTGCATTAGATTAGGTGTCCTAGTGCCGGAGCAAGTTTTCATGCGACCATCTTGCTCCGTGGTTAGCCACGCCCCCCCATTTTGGTGACTTTTGATAACCTCGGGCCGATCGCACATCCCCGTGACGGCGACGACACATTCGGATGTCTGCCCTATTAACTTTCAATGGTACTTTCTGCGCCTACCATGGTGACCACGGGTAACGGGGAATCAGGGTTCGATTCCAGAAAGGGAGCCTGAGAAACGGCTACCACATCCAAGGAAGGCAGCAGGCATGCAAATTACACACTCTCGACGTGGGGAGGTAGTGACGACAAATAAAAATATAGGACTCTTTAGAGGCCCTGTAATTGGAATGAGTACACTTTAAATCCTTTAACGTGGATCTATTGGAGGGCAAGTCTGGTGAAGAGCGACTGACCCGTGCATGGTGCAGCTGAAACTCCACTATTGCCTGCTGCTGCTCGCACAGTCTCTCCAGCATATGCAAGGTGGAGTTCCACCTTGTGGGCACGTCGCATATGAGG